GGAGGAGGAGGAGGAGGAGGAGGAGGGGGAGGAGGGAGGTGGTGGTGGTGGTTGTGTGCATATTGTGAGAGTGTTGTTTGAGTGTAGTGTTTTTGGATGTCTGATGTGGTAGTTTTTATAGTTAACAAGGGTGGATGAGGAGTTAAAAAGTCTCGTGTTGTTTTTACCGAAAGATTCCGGTCCAGTACTTACTGCTCTCTTGTTGGACCATTTGATTTTTCTTCTCTCTCTGGGCAAAAATATTCATGATCCGTGGGTGCTACATTAATAGTGTACCAAAAAAAAAAAAACAATTCTTGGAGGCTAAATAATACTTATACACATTATTGTTTCATCTACTTGTTACTTATATACTCTCGCTTATATTTTGGAGCAAAAAAAAAAAAATACCCTAAAGTTTTTAATACTTACATTTATCTACCCTTAATTATATTTTGTAGCACTTACATAGCCTAAAGTTTTTAAATTTGGCACGTAAAATACCCTAACGTTTTTTAATCCGACACTTAAATGACCTAAAGTTTTTAAAACTTTGCACATAAATACGCTCGGTTATGGAAAGTTGAGGGTATTTAAGTGCAAGTTTTAAAAACCTTAGGATATTTAAGTGACCTTAGGGTATCTAAGTGCCGGATTTAAAAACTTTCGGGTATTTAAGCGCTACCAAGAATAGTGATGATATATAAGTGCAAACTTTAAGAGAATATACGATATTTTTTTGCTACCAAATGCAAGTTGAGGTATACAAGTGAGAAGTATACGAGACGATAGGGTCCGTGAGTGCTATTTAGCCATTCTTGGATCAAGACACTGACTTCTCCAGATGTTTTAAGTATTGAAGAAGAAATTCAGCTGAAAATTTCTGGAAGTATCTTTCTTTCTTTCTCCAGAGAGCAGTAATGGGGGATGACGTGGCATGAGTAGTTGAGGGGCTGGCAGCTTCAACACGCGAAGGTTTTAATGGTAGGGGAGCCAAGGCAGCTGCAGCGCGGTGTTTCAATAAATGTCAGAGGAGAGAGCACCGACTTCGTTGGTGAATGCTGAGTAGTAGTTTGGAGATGGGAATTTAAGATTGGATGGATGTTTGTGATGAGTAGGATTGGTAGTTTGGTGATGGGGAGAACTGCCGTACTGCGTGGTATTACGTCGCAACTTTAGATTATAATCTATTTAGCTTATAATCTATAAATGGCTTATGATTTAAGTAGATATAATCTAAAGTGTTTGGTAAATTTGACGGACTATATCTTAATACATTTCTAATAGTAGAATATTTAGCAAATGTGTGACCCTTATAACCCATCTTTATTGTCAAAACGACCAAAAAAGGGTTGGAGATAGAGAACAGAGAGCTTTTGAATTTTCTTAAATGTTAAGGGTGTATATGTGTCTTTTACTTGGTCAAACTATATGGCTTAAAAGCCACCAAAAACATAAGCTGGGTGACTCCAGCTTACATTTTTTGGGCTTATAAGCCAAAAAAAGGGGTGTTTTGTCAAACATATCCCAGTGACTTATAAGTCACTTTGACCAATTCCCAAATATGTTCGTACCAAGAGGCAGCATTATATGGCTTGGGTTGAAACCGAAACCCAACCAGTTGCTCCCGGCTACCTAGTACAAGCTTAGGGCAGTGTTTGGTAATATCTAAATATGGAACCATGATTGTTCCACTGACCCCACTTTATACGGTTCTCTGTATAAGAAAAAAT